ATATATATATATATAATGTTTATTTAATACTTTTAAGAAATACAACAGATTTTTCCAATAATAGATCCAGTTCAAAGAAATATCCATTGACCAGCAAAGTATGTTTCCAAACAGCTCCAACTCTCTCAGCTCAGCTTTCCCAAACTTCCTGTCCAGTACAAGACCACAAAGGACAGAGCAGTCTCCAAAAACTGTTCATATATGAGCTTGGAGAAGGGAGGAGCAGGGAACAGAGAGCAGGGGAGAGGCTTACTTTGCTGTGCCTGTGTGTTTGTGGAGACCCACACAGCTTACTAGTTCACACAAGGGTTTCTCCATAGGGCCCTGTAAGGGAAAGCAGTCACCTTACAATAGAATATCAGGGCCAGCGCTCAGGGGACCAGCTGATTCTGCAGTAAACGTAAACTTTTAAACATCAAGGAGCAGCATCCATCGTAAGGGATTTCATCTGCATTTGACATAGCTCAGAAATCTTTTGACTTTAATATGACATTAACTAAACCCCCATCTGCTGTAAAAAAAAAAAAGTCAGAAAGTAGCAGACAGTTGAACAGGGTTCTCTGTGATCTCAAAGTCAAAAGTTAAAGGTAGTCATACCTAAAATTGTCTTTTTTTCTGTTCTCTTCAATCCTGGATGAGGTCACCAGTATGCCATTGTTCAGTTGTAAACCTATGCATACCTCCCAACTGTCCCTCATTTAGAACCAAATCCTGCTGTACCTCTTTCCTCATCGGCTGTCACTTTTTTTGGTCTGAGATCTATGACAATGTTCTATTTAACTACCAAACTGTCATTCTGCACTGAAATCTTCATCCTATTTCCTAAATGTCCTTGTTTGCTAATTAAAAATCCAGACTAAAGTCAAGGTAACAGTCCTAAACAACAATTCTGGGTTTAACCAATCATTCTTTACATATAAATTCTTAATGGTCTGAATACCTGGGGACATGGCAGGGTGTGTGTAGGGTTGCTACCTGTCGGGGATTCACCCAGACAGTCTGGTTTTTGAGTCCTGTGTCCAGGTTCTGGGGCCAGCTGACACCCAGACACAAGACACTAAATGCAGATACCGGCACATTAAATTTTCTGACAGATGCAGTGCTTGCTGGGGACCTCGGCAGCCTTCCTGTGAGTCGCAGGCACCTGTAAACAGGCACCTGCCCGCACATCTCCTCCTCCGTCTTCCTTACACTACGTTGCCCCCCTCAGGACCCCTGGTTAGACACCTGAGAGCCCGCAAAGGTCACCTGAGAGCCCACACAGGTCACCCGATATTCTGGAAACATTAGAGCACCACCCCGGAAAAACACAGCGTATGTAGCTTCGTATTGCCGTATAATGTATTACTGGGATTTTTAGTCCTCTATAGCCGATCTACTTACTCCCTCCCCTGGCTGTCTCTTTTTGTTCTTTCTCATGGCTTTCTCTCCTCGCTCACTCCTCTATTCCCCCACCCAACCCCCAAAAAAATCGACACTCACGCTAGAGTGTTCAGGTTTCACTTGAAGAAAAGGTGGCAACCCTAGGTGTGTGTCCATTGCCTAATGACATTGTGCTGGGAGGTGTCCCTCTTTTTCATCTCAGAAGGTCGGGAGGTCCACATATACAAGAATTCAGTTGTAAGGTAGGATACTCTGGCTGTAAATATTTAAAATTTCACACTATTTAATGATTTTATTGGTACGTGTATGGCCACCTGAACAAGGACACCCCTGAGTGCCTAGAAGCTGCAGGCACATTCTGTAAAACAATATACCGTATATCTCAAAGGGTGGAGTTGGCTATTTTGCTAACATCAGATCAGGATACCAGGCCAAGCACAAAAGCATGACAAAGGCACGGCAGGATGGAAAGTCACATACTGTACACGCAGATGCGACAACTTACAGAGTCTCTCATATGCTGTGGGCCGAATGCTCTGGTGTGGTCTCTCTCAATGTAAACCTTTGTCCAGACAATAAAAACACCAATCAGTGCTGCAATGGTTAAACCTAAGTACCTTGAAGACTGTAGTATAATGGTCAAATATTTTCCTCATTGGGAGACTTCACAGGGTTGGTATTATGGGCAAATTGTTTTGAGACACTTACTGTAATTTTCCTTGCCTGGCATTTCTTCATGTAGGCATACTATGGGTCAGCTCCTCCTCTGACCACCATAGGACCACCCATATTATAGCTAATAAAAACCTGAGTTTCATCACTAAAGCTCCCTTTGGAACACTAAGGGTGGAGCCATATGCTGGCATGAAGATAGGCCAAGAAAATACAATTTTGGTAAGTATCTGAAAACAATTTTCCTTTTTTATTGCCACTTCATGTCACCATACTATGGGAATCAGCAAGAAATAAAACAAAGGAGGGCAAAACATTAAACCAAGACAACACAATGCTGCTCAATATAAGTTTTGAGAGGACTTAGCCGAGGATAAAATAAAGGCCCCAAAGGAAGATGCAGAGGAAGCAGCTGTGTCTACACAATAATAACAATACACAAAGGTATTAAAAGATGCCCAACTTGCAGCCTTAAAAATGTCCTGCCAAGACTCCGGGGTAAGCCACCAAGGATGCTGCCACGCCTCTAGTATAATAAGCCCTAATAGTCAGGTGGAGGAAGTCTAGCTGTAGAATATCGCTCTTGTATCGCCTAAACTATCCATGAGGAAAGTACTCTTAGAAGAAGCTGCATACCATTTTTGGGATTTTTCGGTAGAAGGAGCAAGCTCTCTGTTCACCTAAAAGTGCTTCTCCTCTGCAGGTAAGTAAATAATGTGTACCAGATCTAAAAGGTGGACACCTTCTCATCCTGTGCTGGGAAGGTGGGGAGCACTGACTCCCAGTTCTGATGAAAATACACGGAGTCCTACATACAGTGGCAACAGCCTCTAAAGCACCTTGTCCTTAAAAATTGATAAAAAGTCTTCACCTTTCAAGCTGATGCTATAGCGGTTAATAACAACACTTTCAGTGTAAGATGCTACAAGGAACAGGATTCTGCTGGATGGAACAGCGATTTACCTAAGGTTTGTAACAAAAACCTGCAAAACTTATCAGCCCATCATAACAGCTGACACCTTTAACCAGAGCTATCTAAAAAAATATATCATATTGGCAATATATAGTTCAAAAGGCTCAAAGTTAGAGTCCTTGGGGAAAACCAAAAACTTTTCCCAAAAAGTGTTGGTAGAAAGTTTTTTGGATTTGAGAAGAGTCTTGATAACATCCAAAGACATCCCTTAGTGAGCAAGCCTTTCCCTTTTAACATGCATACCATTAAATGAAGCTTTCCAGGATCCCCATGAAGAACTTTTCCTTGATTATTTTGGGAGGAAGAGGCCAGGGTGGAGCTGTCGCCATACTCATGACAAGAGGGAGCCACAGCCTCCTGGGCCTCTACACTCTTATCCATTGAGTCTTTAAAAGAAATGGTATAGATGGGACAACAGCACTCCAAATGATGAATAGTGCGTCTTTTATTGACGTAAGTGCAGCATATCACACATGCAACATTTTGGGGTCATGCAGGAAACGTGATGTGTCTATACTTTTTGAATGTGATGGAGCCATACGTCGGCCACCGAAGCACCCACCAGTTGCTTTTGGACTAAGCGGTCAGGAGTGCAATGGGTTCATGGACTTCTTCTTTAAAAGAAATGGAACTCTATTTGGGCAGAGAGACATGATGTAGGAAACGTGATGTGTCTATACTTTTTGAATGTGATGGAGCCATACGTCGGCCACCGAAGCACCCACCAGTTGCTTTTGGACTAAGCGGTCAGAGAGACATGATATGTGAGCTGCTGCAGTGAAGTGCCCACCACCCCCATTGGCGAATCCCATGATGCAGAATCGTCTGACTTAAACTTGTGACATTTGTTCTGAAGATCTGTTTTCTTATCATTGGATTGCCACTGTTCTTCAATTAACTCATTGATCTCTGGCATTAATGGAAAGGAGGGGAGAGACTTCTTCAGAACAAGGTAATACTTGTGACCCTTTTTGGCTGTGGTTTAACTTCTTCCTTTACTGGAGCCACAAAAGGGGACACCATTAAAAAGTCAAAGAAAAAAACTTGACTTCGTTCCGAGGAAACGGTGGATAACCGTCGCCTGACTTCTGTTCCCGAATCTCCTGTTTGTGGTGGGGCTGAAAATGGCACTGGCTTTGTGAAAGTAGAAGGAGGATTCGCTGGCATTCTTTCCTCCACAGCTAGGCGAACATATGAGCACACTTTGCAATAATTAGTTATCTCACGAGAATTCAAAAGACATAGCTAGCACATCATTTTACCAGGCAAATAATCACGCCACATGCTCAGCATACTCCCCTTTGAGGACGGTGAGGGGAATGATGACATGAGTGGGACCATGTGCGGTGATAGCGCTGTCTTGATCTCAATATTCTGGAATAATGGTTCCGATGAGGGGAGCATCTTCTAGGTTGAAGACAGGACAACATGTATACTCCAGCCTGTCCATCTCACACTTGGTTTCCAACATCTTCAGTGCCTCAGGCTCAGCGGTCTGGCTCATAGCTAAAATACAAAGATATAGCCAATATCAGACTAGCCCCAGAAAGGACAATAGATA